CCCAACCGCCCCAACCGCCGCGCAGGTCATCCTGTCACTGATTGACAACTGGAAGTACTACAACGGCGTTGACCAGTACATGGACTGGAGCTCCACCGCCCCGAAGCGCACCATGAAGCCGCCGTTCCAGGACCTCAGCGGCGACCCCAACCCCGGCGATTACGGGACGGGGCCGCAGGGCGAGGAGGTCAAGAAGTACGAGGTGAGCGGCGCGGGGTCGCAGGGCCGGGCTGTAGGCTGGCAGGGGCCGCGAGGGGCATAAAGTTGTACGTCAGGCGCGCATGGCTACCGGGGGCCGCCGGGGCGAGGGGCCGGGGGGCATCTGGGGTGTGGCGACGGCCGCCGGATTGGCGGGCTGGGGGGCGCTGGTGTTGGCAGTTGAGGGGGCGCCTGCAAGCACACGCATGGGCCTTGTCACAGGAGGTGGCGGGGCTGGGGCACGGCTGCTGGCACTCACAGGTGGCTGCGGCACCAGGGCGCTCCAGCCGCCTGCACCTTCGCCGACTGATTCGATCTCAGACTAATGCTGACCTGGGTGCACCGCGTCGCCCCGCCCACCTCGCACCCCGCCCAGGTCGCGCGCCACGGCCTGTTCTTCAAGGACCCCGACAGCAAGCAAATCTACAAGAACCACGCGCGCTTCCTGGCCACCCGCAACAACAGCATCAACGGCCGCATGTACAGGGAGGACCCCACCATCATTGCATGGTGAGGGCGGCGGTTGATAACACCCCGCGGACCCCCCTCGCGCGCGCCTGGCACGACGCGGCCCCCCACGCACACGCCCGCAGACATTGGGGCAGCAGCGGGGGGCATGCCGGCATCGGCGTCTGGGGCTGTTTTGCAGAGGGGATTTCGCACAGCTGTTGCTCAACCCCCCTTCCCGAATCGAAATTCCCCCGCCCGCAGGAACCTCATCAACGAGCCACGCTGCGAGACCTGGCTCAAGCCGCAGAATGCCGACTGCACGGCGCGCGTCCAGTCCTGGCTCGAGGAGATGGCAGCGTTTGTGCGCAGCGTCGACCCTAACCACATGATCACCGTCGGCTCTGAGGGCTTCTACGGCCCCACCACCCCGGACCTGCTGGCCGCCAACCCCGGCCCCTGGGGTATCGAGATGGGCCAGGACTTTGTGAACAACACCAACATCCCCCAGATCGACTTTGCGACCGTCCACGCGTGGCCGGACAACTGGATGATTGCGCAGGTGAGTGTCCCTCGGACTTCCTGGTTGGTCGGAACGAGCACCTTGGGATTGCCCGTTGGTTGAAACAACCATTGAGTCTGGGAGTTCAAGGGTCAGATTCCAGCAGCCTGGCCCTCACGTCGTCGACGGATCAATCCCCAGGAGGGTTCCTGGGAACCGCCGGCGGCTGTTGCGGCGGAGCCTGCCGCGGATCTCGGCGGCGAATCCGCAGCTGCGTCGGAGCGGCGCGAGGCGTCCGTCCTGATGGTGGCTGACCGCCTGCCACCCGCCGGTGGCCTCTGCACCCCCCTTCCCCACCGATTCGCAGGAGAAGACGTCTGCGTTCCTCGACAAGTGGGTGCAGTCCCACATCGGCGCGGCCTCCAAGCGCCTGAAGACCCCCAAGCCCGTGCTGTTTGAGGAGTTCGGGAAGAAGCTCGACGCCAACCAGCAGACCGCGGACGGCATCCGCCAGGTCAGCGCGGCGGCCGCGGCAGGGGCAGCGGCGAGGCCGCTCGGGCCGCAGGCGGGCGGCGCGCCCTGCGGCGAGACGCGCGCGCGTTCCGCCACCCCCTCGCTCCTGGGGGCGCCGCGCCGCCCCACCCATGCAAAGTGCTGCTCAGCTGGTCGGCGCCAGCACGAGCTCCCCGCTCACCGTCTTTGCCCACTCTGCGTCTTGCCAGCCCCACCCCCCTTACCAACAAGCCTTGACTGGATACGCACTCACGCAAACACACCAACACACACACTCCCGTCCTCACCCTGGCCCTCTCTCCACCTCTTGCTCCTCCCCCGCTTTAACAAACGCACACACCCCACACACGCTCTTGCAAACACGCAAATACCATGCAAGCACAACCTCACACACCCTCTCCCCCCGCCCCACCCCCGCAGCTGCGCGACCCCATCTACGCATCCACCTACGCCAGCGTTGAGAAGGCCATCACCGGGGACCAGCCCATCGCGGGCTCTCTCTTCTGGAAGTGGGCCATCCCAGTCTTCAACAAGCAGGACCCGCGCGGTGAGCATGCACTGGGGCTGCTGCGGTCCAGCGCTGCTGCGCAGATCTGGAGGGCAGGGGCGCGGCGCCTGCGGCGCCGCCTTGTGGTGGCACCCAGGTTCAGCACTGCCGACTGCAGCCGGGACGGCCGCCGCGGGGCTCTCAGCCTGGCGCCTGTTGCGCTCGGCGCGACTATGCGAAGCGCGGCTGTCCTCGCTCCACGCCAGCCTCCTGGGCTCGGGGGGCCCTCCGTGCATCCGTTGCAGCCACTCACCATCCACCCTGTCGCCCACCTTGTGCCGTCATCATCACCCACCCACCCATGCACCCACCCACCCATGCAC